GAGCCATAAGACATAAGGTGGCAGTTTCGTCACCGGAACTTTCCGAATCCCATGCCATGTATGCTCGTTCCTTCTTCTTCTTTTCCTTGCGGTTTGGGCAATATGGCTTTATGTGGCCAAGTTCTCCACAACCAAAGCACGTTGGAACGGGTTCCCCCTTTCTTTTACAATCTCGGGACCCAAGTTCTTCCTTCAAAAATTCTTGGAACTTCTCGAGCAAGTTATAAGAAGGATTATGGTCATCGCTATCGGAGTCACTTACCTCTATCCTTTTTGAGGATGAGGCTTTGAGAGCGAGATCGGGACTCTTGTCAAGAGAAGGTTTAAGAATAGTGGATTCATAAGTTTTAAGATTACCTCGAAGACCATCGATGGTGACATTGGTGTTACCAATCGACTCATATATGGCATCGGCTTTTGAACGCCATTCCGGTGTTAGGCTCCGAAGGATTTTTCGAACAAGATCCTTGTTCGAGTATGTTTTACCAAGGACATGGAGATCGTTGATGATCTTTAAAAATCGGTCGAACATTTGATCAACGCTTTCAATTTCCTTCATTTTAAACAACTCATATTCATGGGTTAGAAAATCAATTTTAGCTTCATGAACTTGAGGCGTACCTTCATATGTCACTTCAAGCTTATCCCACATTTCTTTTGCGGTGGAGCAAGAAGAAATTTTTCGGTAGTCATCCGGGTTAATTGCACAAAAAATCATGTGTTTAGCTTTTTCAAAAGCTTCTACCTTCTTGATGTCTTCAGCATCATATTCTTCCTCCTTCTTTGGGATGGTGATTTCACCAACCTTTTTCATTGGCATAGTCTCACCATTTTTGATGATTAACCACAGTTGGAAGTTGATTGACCGAATGTAAATCCTCATTCTTTCCTTCCAATAGGTGTAGTTTGTTCCATCAAAGAGTGGAGGTCTAACGGTGGAGTGTCCTTCGCTTAATCCTGCATACGACATTCTCAACAAAAAAAATATAGATCGTTCTCTCAACCGGTTAAGGCTTGTAGAGAGTTAGGCTCTGATACCAATTGTTAGAATAAGTGCCCTTCACTAGAGGGGGGGGTGAATAGTGAGGCACGAGAATGTTTATAAATTTTCGCGGAATAAAAATCGCAGGGATAAAGTAAAGAGCGGAATAAAAAGGAGTAAAGGGAGCACACCAAGATTTATACTGGTTCACCACAACGTGTGGCTAGTCCAGTCTCCCGAGAGACTCTCTCGAGCTACACTACTTCCGTTAAGCTTACGGGTGCTTAACAAACCGTTACAACCTGAGAACTCGAGTCCCACGAGCCTCAATACACTTGCTCGGAGATACCGCACTCCAAGACTTCAACCCGAAGGAAAATACCTTTCCTTCGTACAACCAAGGGAAACAAGCTTCCCTAAACGTGTTTACAACACTAAGAACACTCAAGAACAAGACTCTCTTTAAGAGTAGATGTTGAGTAAACTATATACGCTCAAGAACAACTCAAACTTCACAAATTGGCTCTAGAAAGCTATGGAAAAT